GAGCAGTGAAGGGCCGGATTTTCACAGGTACCCCAAAAAAGGGACGATGATTTAGACCACTGTCCAGACTGTGGGTTTAAGTTGAGGGACGCCCCTTAAACACCACATGGATATATGGGGACCCTCTGGGATGATTTTGAGAGATGCCCAGGTCTGTTTTAGCTCAAAGTCATGGGTAATTTTTGTGGAAGTGGCCGTTCCTGGACAACGTCGAGGAATAAGCAGGGGCTCATAGAACAATGCACGGATCGTGTCGGGATGTCCTTCCTTCGGTTTGTATGAAAAAGCTGGCATTCGCCTGAGCTACCATTGTGGCTTTCAACAACAAGATAGTCTTTCTTGGAAATGCGTCTAAGTACCTAAAGGTGCCTGCAGTGACATGGATACACGGAACAATTATGAATCTCCATGCTTGTCGGACATGGGGGAGTTGCAAAGAGCGTGGAGACCACTCTGACTAAAAGCCAAAGATTGAGACATATGGCTACACATTTACTTCGGAGTGCAGTGAGAGTACGCGCCCAAGCACAGGAGGAGATAGCCCTGAGACGCCCTGAGATACCGGATGTGAAGGGACATGCGCGGATTGTTGGAAGTAGCCCTCACTTAAGGTTTCACCGAACCCCCAGGCTTCCAGAGCCCTAAACCAATAAGTGGAGAACCCAAAACTTACATGATCATGTAATAGTTTCCATTTATCGTTCCATTCCATTCTCCATTTGATTCTCCATTATCCCTAGGTGAGCCGAGTCATTATAGAGCACTAAGGGTGGTTGTTCAATGAGTAGGGAGATGTTAAAACCACTGCAAAACGATACGGGGCACCCTAAAAAGCGATACCCCAAAACGATACCTCCCACCTGCAAAATGATCGGGGCACCGTAAGCAAATTTCACTATACCACAAACAAGTAATTTTGACGCCAGCTCATATTACCCCTATGTAACCCCTATAATCCACAAAATGATATTATAATGTAGTAGTTTCCATATCATTGTCCATGGTATTTTCCATTTGATTCCCCATCATGCCTATATAGCGCCTATAACCCCATATAACCCCATATGACCCATGACCGCATCTACACCCCAGGCCTGGCTCCCTGAATCCACAGTGGAGCTCATCACTTGGCACTCGTCCTCCGTAAGCTGGGTTGCTGTTAAGGAACTTAAATTAAGTTACCATATTGGAGAAACCTTATTATTCACTATTTATATATATATATACCCATTATGGTAACTTAGTTTAAGTTCCTTAACAGCAACCCCGTAAGCCTTCTAGGATCGAGTGACCGCCTTCCCTGCTACAGGGGCCTAAATGGTTACCAATATCATTTTGAGGTCCATTTGAGGTGCCATAGACCATAACTATATGAGGACTATGGAACCGTAATATTGGTTATAATTTAAGCCCCTTTATTTCTTCTTAAACACCTTGACAAACCCGTCACCGATGCTGCAGGACTTCGAGCCAAGCAGCTTAGTCCTGGCTCAGGCAGCCTGTTTTAGGACAAGATCCGTTTTCGCTGCCGTCGCTAGGGTTGCACTTCCAAACGGTCTATTGCCTCGCTTGCTAATTCGTAGGAAGGTTCTAGCAGTAGGGATCGCTCAGCTTCTGCGATCTCTCCGTTTAGGGGTTTCAGGGTTTAGGGTTTAGGGCCCTGTTGCCCTTCTGCCTCACCATTATTATTATTATTATCATTATTCTATCATTGCTATTACTATTATACTACAGTCTTGTCTTTGAATGTGGCAAGTGCGAGGCGGGGATTGATACAAGGGGTTGGTATCCTTCAAAGTTTTGATTTTTGGAAAGTTGGCATGCACCCTGCGCCAGTTCCCAGCTTGATGATGAACAAAACTTGCTGGTTCTTAGTAGGGAAGAAGGGAATATATCATATAGGGACTATATAGGGGTTATATTCCCTTATTCCTTACTAAAAGCCAGGAAGATACTGCTCTGCATCACCTGACCTGCAGTCCTGTGATTCCTCTGCAGAGCAGTGCTGTCATACATGCAAACTACTCGAAGACGCCATCAAGAGTCAATGTTTGAAGTGGCTCTAGAGGGAACGCATTGATAACAGAACCCTTGACCTGGTCCTATGTTGAACCTGATACAGGCCCTGGCTTCAAAGAAACATCCTTTCCTTGGCGGAAGCTTCACCTTGGAATTCCTGAGCCCAGAAAACATCTCTAAGACCTCGACCCCATATCTCCATACACAACCAAGACATTCACGCCATGCAAATTTGTCAGAAGCAGTGCAGATTTGTAGGGTTTGTAGGCTTATAGGGTTTGTAGGGTTATTTGGGTTTATAGGGTTTTTAGGTTCGAAGTCCATTCAGGCGAAGCAGCCTCCCACTGATGTACCTGCACAAATTGTTGCCGGCTCAGCCTTGCAGAACCAAGGGCTGTCAATAGGGAATGGAAAAGAGAATGGGGACTACTATTTGGGGCTTAGGGTTTAGGACTGGACAAGTGAATGGGAATGATTATGTTTTACATGGGGGGCCTACCACAGAGATCCAGTCCTCCATTCCCTATTAACAGCAGACTCCCAAGGATCCAACTTCCCAAAGAACAAATGGGTTCCTATTTGCACAATACTGTTTCTAAGCATATACAATTTGAGCACTGGGACCGCAGGGTAGAAAAGTTCTAGGGACTTTAGGAGGGACCCCTAATAGGGACCCTTTATCCCATTACCATATATGACCCTCATATAGTCATTATATAACCCCTATATCCCTAGGGTCCCTCCTAAAGTCCTTAGAAAAGTGTTTGAACAAAAACCTTGGGAGGGATTGCGCTGCATGGTCCCAATGGTCTTTCTGTAGACGTAGTGTACAAGTTTTATCGTTGTATTGAAGGGCTTGCAAGGAGGCTTGCAGATTTACAGGGCATGAGAATGGGGGTGCTTGTGATAAAGATTTGCTGCTTTCTTTTCAGAAGCGCCCAAGTCAGCTGCGGGTCCAGGGAAGGCAGCTGCTTTGACAGTGCTTTAGTATTTATGGAAGCTTCATAAAAAATGGGGATGAACTATCAAGGTTACAAAAATCACTTGTGCACGCAGGCCGAGGCCTGGCTTCAGCAAAACGAAGCTGAGCCTTTTTTTGCGAAAGTTGTAGTCTGCAACCACGCGCATGTTCGAGTCACTGGATTCTGATCCTAGACTCAGAAGAATCTAGCTGGGCCTTCATTTGCCATGAGGAATCTCCAGCTTTCTGCTGTACCTGTATCAGATTTTCCCAAAGCCTCCGTCACTTGACTCTACATAATCCCATGTGTTCTTAGGGTCAGAAAGTAGCGTCCCTTTCTGACAAACCCCTCATCCGCTCCCAAGTCATGTCACGCCAGGGACGGGATTGCTTTATGAGGGAATTGGAATCTATGGAGGTTTCTTAAACTTAGGGGTACCCTTTTTGGGGGTCTCCTTAGTTAGGGAATATCTTTCGGATGCGATGCCAGCTGTCTTCCTCCAGGTCCTCCTTGAAAAGGAGGACATGCAGTCCTATTGCACAGAAGCCTATGGCCTACAGGACTAGGGATTAGGGTCTAGGTTACTTCCTACAGGAGACCAAAGTTGCTGAAATTGCTGATCCATGTGAGTGGAGCCTCCGTAAAGTAATATTCATCCCATGTAGTTCGGAAGTGACGCTAAGACATGGCAAAAGCAGGCCTGCCAAAGATTGCTTGCAGGGGTCTGTGGACATCTCGTCAACCTGCAGAACTGGAGTCAACGGTTGGCTACACCAGAGACACCAAATCTTCAAAGACACGTTGTCCGATCTGGTGTACATTGAAAGTGGTGCTAGTGGTGTAGGGTTGGGATTTTTAGTCTAAAGGGGTTGACGGGTTAGGTTTGATTGCCCGGATGGAACAAGATACACCACTTCGACATGCTTCACAATTTTGACAGTACTGAAGCAGCCAGAGCTTGTGTCCTGTCTCCTGACAGGACCAGCCACTTTGGGCAGGTCTGAAACTCCGTCTGGAGAAGGAGATACTGTAGATTTGGATTTCAGGGTTGAGTTTAGAATGGCGCCAGCCAAACGTACACCTTGCCCACCCCTTGTCGTTAGAAGTACGCCCGAATACATTTCGAGCTACGAGCAGGGATAAGTAGCGGGGGCAGGGTGCCTAATGTTGGGGAGGAAGGATCATTCCTGTCGATTCCAGAAGCAGTGTTCTACCGGATATAATTTGCTGTATAGCTACCGTATGTTTTAAAGAGAAGTAATTACAGCCTTGCATATTGAATAACCTCCGAAACACAAGGAACCCCATATGGGCCCATTTGTGAAGCACGATTTGCGTATGTCTTGTCATTTCGTCTGTCGACCATATGAGCAACAGCCAGACCTCCTGAAAACCACCTTGGGTTACGGTGATGAGAGTTTAAGAGGGCAATTCTCACAAGTCAGGGCTGGGAAGCCCCAATGTGCATGGTTTCAGGAGCGCGCGGCAAGAAGCCGTGCCAAGTCCAACGCAGCCAGGCGGAAGGCAGGCAAGCTAGTGATTTTCCCCTGCGCTCTAGGGATAGACTGATGCAGGGCTACTATATAGGCCATTGCTTCTTTCCTTGCTACGCCCAGGTTGTAGGAATTCCGCAGGTCCACGCAGGAATGCACCTTCGCACTGCCTACCGTGGCAAACTTCTGCAATGAAGCCCTTTCTGTGTATGGGTTTAGTGTGGGCTCGGTGCTTGCGCCTGTGTTGCCTGAGTGCAATTGAGTTTCTCTCACAATTACGGGTCCTTGGTTATTGCCCGGATGTAACAGGAGCCGACACAACCGTGGGAAATGGTGATCCCTATTTTGGGGAAATGTCCTCACATACTTCTCAACAGGGGCCCCTATGATCCCCCTATCCCGTATAGCTCTAGATTACCCTATATGACCCCTATATACCTCTATATAACCCCTATATAACCCTGTAAAACCCCTATGCAATCCCATTATGAGCAGCGTTTCAGAAGTGCTCATTTCGGAATTGCAGGCTATCGCTGCCCTGGAGGTCTCCGAAGAGGGCCTCGGCCTAAGTTGCACGGCAGACGGCTCAGGTCCCTCCACGTTAGTTCAGGGGAGGCAAAAACCCTGAAATGGAACCAAGTTTCCAGATTTTTTAAGTGTTATTCATGAGAGGGAAGGCTTCATCTCTTTCCCTCAGCCCGCGGAAGACAACATTTATGGGCACATACGGTTCATGTGCCCCTGATTCCGAATTCTGCATGACTTCCACGCTGCAGACCGTAATCCACCCCAACCCAAACCCCAAGACCTGAAGCAAAGTGCCTCCACCCCAAACTGCCGAACTCACGCCCTCAAGACCCTGAACCCTATAGTCCCCCTTAAGTAGATAGAAACTGGCTTTGGGTATGTTGTACTAAGATCCCCATATACCCCATATTCTATCTACTTAAGGGGACTATAAACCCTTGCCTTTGACCCAGGCGAGGCCGCCGAGGAGGCGCCGGAGCAGCCAGAAGCCAAGGCTAAGGAGGCGCGATATGCTGGGAGTCTAATATGGGAGCCTAGATAATTACCAATATTATGGGTTTAGGGTATAGGGGCCTAAAAAATCCCCCTGCAGTAGGGTTGAGGGCTGGGGTTTCGCATTTGGGGCTCGGAGCTAGATTTGAGGGGTTCGGGCAGTAAGTTTCGAGTTCAGGTCTTACGGGTCTGAGGGTGTAGAAAGGAGGGTATAGGGCCTAGGGCTTTGAGCTTACCATTCAGAAGTCAGGCATCAGAAGGGCCCATGGAGATGTGAAGGTTCCTTCTTTCGTGAGAATCATCTTGGGGAACCCCTTTATTGTGAGATGGGGATCTGCAGTTATAGCTCTGGCACATGTAGTAGCAGTTGTGTTAGGAGAGGTGTAGCTAGGCAGCAGGTACTGTAGTCGCACTGTCATGGACAGCAAAAAATCGATGGGCCATGGGACGTGTCTTTCGTAGTCATAGTTCCTGACTCCGTATTTGCTATGTCCAAATGGTGCGACGTGCAACCTACAAGAAATTACTTGCAGAATCATTCGTCTATTATGCCGGCATACCTCCTCAGTCTTCTGAAGCAGTGCCGTGTGTTTGCCATAGTGGTGTTCCTCAAAATTGAGTTCCCTATTTTGTGCTTCGTAGATAACGCATTTAGACACGAGCAGGAGCAGGTGGACGTCCTGTTCCTCATCGAGGCGCCGGCAGATTTGGAGGAGCTGCAGGCCATGTCTGACGCAGGCACACGCGAAGGGGCAAGTGTTTTTTTAGAAGTATGTAGCTTCAACAGTTATAGTTATTTGCGTAATAATTAGGCGGTGTGACGATGATTTGGGCAACCTTTGCTTTTCTTAACTTCCTTTTCCGGCCGCCGTCTCAGAGTGGGGCGGCTTAACTGTCGCCAGGGCTGCCAGAGATTCAATGGATACTCGAGCAGGTCGGAGTACGGTACTACCAACTACTACTAATTGCGGGTAGGCGATTTCGTGATGTTGTCACTCAGACAGACTGGACAGAATATAAAGACTGGCACGCAGCCTGCTGTGCAGGTCTCTACGAAGTGGTGGATCTCTGGACCAGCATCTTCTTTGCAGGCTCCACGGTCTTGCGTACTCTGCGAAGCGCGTGTTTCGACGTTTCTGGAAGCAGCAGTCCTTTCGCTTGTTCGAGCAGGCAAGTCTGTGGACGAAGCCGATCCAACACTGCAGGCACCGGCGCATGTCCACCCGTGCTCTTCCAGTTTTCACGCGGGGTCAGGGCTTGAGCTTCTGCGGTTGCAGAGTGTAGCCTGGTGAACTATACAGCTTATAATCACCCTTAGGTGACAGAATAGGGCTTTGGGTACACTATAATCAGATCCCCAATTACCCCAGATTCCATCTACTTAAGGGGCTCTATACAACAAGCAAGTACCGCATACCTCACCTCCGGAGACCCAGGGATGATAATCGGGTGATAGCTTTGCAACGCTACCCGTACAGCAGCCCCAATCTTAATGTTTGATCACTTTCCATGTCATTTTCCATGTTCTTTCCCACTTGATTCTCCATTATTGGGGCATGAACCCCCCATATGGCAATTTCCATTTTCAGAGCCCGAAACCCTAAACCCTATAGCCCCCTAGATAACCCAGATAAGGCCCTTTAAAGGTACCGCTATTTGGGAAACCCCCATACTGCAATTTCCATGTTCAGAGCAATGCAGGTAGATGGCGAGGTGCCCGCGGGCCCACAGCTCTTCTACGAGGCTATCGATTCCCCCCTGTTTTGGGAAACTGTCATATTAGCCTTATCAAATGAGTTAGGGTTACTAGGGGGATACTAGGAGTGTAGACTATGGCTCAAACGGCCATTGAGGGTGGACATTGGGGTCCTTCTCGTAGTTCAGTACAGTCCCCAAAATAGTCCCTAAGAAGGAACCCAGGTCCCTTAGTTTTGCGGGTAATATTGACGGTAGCCGACATGTCTCCGGGGTACAGAAAGTGAGGTCGTCATAGGCAGTACTACATGATCCATAAAATCATCCCTGTGTCTATCCCTACGAGCTACGGACTGAAGTTATGTCGAGGGACCTGCAGCGGGAGATGTAGGGGTATAGGAAGACATATTAATTAAGGGATAAACTAGAACTTGAGTCCAGGGGTCACATAATAGATTACAATTGCACATACATAGTCCAAGTAACTAGTACCTTAATTTTGAATGCTCGGAGAAGCTGCTTCATGCAGGCCATTCATGCAGCTTCAGCCTCCTCGGATGTGTCGAACAGCCTCGCACTCTGAGTTTGCTTCGAGAGGGCCTTTTGCACGGGGCCCCAAATCCACATGCATGTTCTCGTAGATGAGCTACAGTCTAAACTCCTTCCTTAACGGGGCATAGGGGACTTTTACAAGAGTTATGAAGAGGGATACTACGAGTTTAGACTATGGCCCAGATGGTTTTGGCAAAAAAAGGTTTACCTGCCAATGAAGGTACCCCTGACGTATTCATGCGCTACCGGATGCAGAGTTCGAGACTAGAGAGTGGGAAATCTCGGCAGCCCCACAATAAAGAGAAGCTGAACTAAAATATCAAAATGCTGCAATGTAGTATGTGGTAGTTTCCCTATATAATTAGGGGTGCACCCCAATATGTTATTGTAATCCTTTTGTAGGGACCGCCCAAAAAGGTGCTGCTAAGTTTGGGAAACTCCCCATGTAGAGTCTCAGGTGCAGCATCCAGGAAGAATGCAGGGACCTACACCCTTGAAAGCAAAAATCTACTCCAAACCAGCACAGGCGACTAGAGATTTCCAACCGCAGGAGTCCGGCTTGTATTATATGCCCCAGCCGATAGTAGTTTCCATTTTCTTTTCCATTCCATTTTTCCATTATCCCAATATAACCCCAATACAACCCCAACATGTACCTTACTATAATATAGTCCATTATCCCAATATAACCCCAATACAACCCCTATATGTACCTTATTATACTATAGTCCATTATCTGAATATAACCCCAATACAACCCCTAGATATACCTCATTATAATATAGTCCATTATCCCAATATAACCCCACTACAACCCCCGTTTATACCTTATTATAATATAGTAGTTTCCATCTTCTTTTCCATTCTCAGCCTAAACCCTAAACCCACAAAAAAAATCGCCCAGGTACAGTGTGCACCATCCCGGACAGCCATGACTTGGCTTTCCAAATTGAGCCGGAGGATGCCACGCAAACGGAGGCCAGGGGTCAAGAACTTGCATCTACTGGGTTTTGAGTTTAGGGTTTAAGGTTCAGGGTTTAAGGTTTAGGGTTTTTAAGGTTCAGGTTTAGGGTTTAAGGTTTAGGATTTAGGGTTTTAAGGTGCAGGTTTGGGGTTTAAGGTTTAAGGTTTAGGGTTTTAAGGTTCAGGTTTAGGGTTTAAGGTTTAGGGTTTAGGGTTTTAAGGTTGAGGTTTAGGGTTTAAGGTTTAGGGTTTAGGGTTTTAAGGTTCAGGTTTAAGGTTTAGGGTTAGGGTTCCGCAGGGTTATTTCGGGAGATGTATAGAGAGATGTATAGAGATGTATTATGAAAGAGTATAGAGGTGGATACTGTATGTACATAAATACGCTCTTTACCGATGTAGGACTGTTTTGCGGTGGGTGGTTAGTAGGGAGTCGAGAAGATGGAAACAACTGTGTACAGGCCTTTAGGGTGTAGGGGCAGGGCAATGGATTTGGGGCACATGTTTTCAGCTCCGGATTCTCGTTCTCTCGTCTCAAGCTAGTCCAAAATGTGCCAGTACAGAAGAGGCCAATCCAGCTCAATCTGCAATGTCAGGATGTAATGATGCAGTTGGGCATGTGCGGGAGTATATGCCATTGTGGGTTGCGGATCATGGGATAGGATGTGACGTGCAGATTGTTCACGTGCATCGGGGATGTAGGGTGCAGGATTTGCAAGCTGAAATGTAAACCCTGGCAGGGAAGAGTTTTCTTAGACACCTTTTGCCCAGGCGCCTCCACCGGAGACTACTCCCAGCGAGAGAGTTCTCGCTGCAGCCTTACTACAATGGGGGTTGTATTGGGGATTATATTGCACATGGGGTAATGGAGAATCATATGGAAAATAACATGGAAAATGAAACGGAAACTACTACAGTATAATAGGGTATATATTGGGGTTATTTTCGGGTTATATGATGTACCACAGTCACCTGCGCTAGGTGCCAGGACCTGCATATTCGGAGTACTTACATTATCCCCCTATAATGGAGAATCACATGGAAAAGAAAATGGAGAATGAAATGGAAACTGGGGTCATATAGGGGTTTAAGGAACTTATCAAAAGATTCGTGTAAGGATTGTTTGTGGTCGGGTCATAATATTAATAAGGAATATGTTTAGTATATCGGGGTCTATTGGGGTCAGAATATGAGTTTCCCTGTTAGTTTGTGGGATTTTGAGGGGATGTAGTAACAGCAATGCCAGCCACTAGACGTGACTAGTTTGCGCAGGCAGCCTTGATGGACGTGGTCGGCGTCGAAGCCAAGTCGCGAATGCGATATAAGGCCTGTTGATGCAAATTCATGCCGTGAAGCCCACTGACAGGCTGAAATCGGGATGTTCCACAGCAAGTGACGTGCTAAATGGTTACGGCACACCATGAGTGCTCTGTGTTTGCGCAAGATGTTACGCGGAGGCATGGCTCGAGGCTGCGCTGCACTTTCCAGAGATCTGTGCAGATGGGAGTGCTTGTGAGATGGAGAGTGCATCAACCATTACTGTGTAAATGGGCCCCGAACGTTGGGGAGATGTTGAGGTTGGATGAAGCTGCGGCTACATCTATCACTGGCAGATTAACTTTGCAGTTGAAAAAACAGGAGTAGCTGCAATAATAGCAATAATAACAGTAGAGAAACAACAATAATGTTTGTCCATTCGCCAGGCTGCACCATCCATCCCACAGAGTGGTGGTTGCATGTGCACAGAGCGCAGATCACAGTAGCATTACGATAGCCACCACTACCATTGCTATTACTGTTAGCAGTATAACAGTTATGGTAGCAACATCTTCAATGATTTGCACCTTGTGGCCGCCTGCAAACCCTTGTCGCTATTTTCGCCGAGGTTCAGTGTGTGAGCGTAGCCATGCATTTTGTCCTGGTATCTGCCAAACGCGGCTTGAGACGAAGAAAGAGGAGGCAGACAACTTGCTTATAGGACGCAGAGCAGAACGTCTGCTGTTGATTTTTCATGGTTTTGAGAATCCAACGACCTTTCACTGTTGGCGGCTGGACGCGCGCCAGACGACCGTAAGAAAACTCCAGTGAGACTAGCGTGGCCTTGGATAGCCATTTTAGCAAAGTCTGAGATGGCTGTTGCTTGCGCTGTGGCGGTGGTTGGCTCAGGCAACTTGGCTGCAGCACATCGAGTTGCGTTTGCTGTAAGGGGTTCTAGAAAAGTGTGGGCCTTGCACGGCGTTGCGACAACAATTTGCATGCACTGCTTTGTACTTGCATTGAACCGCATGGGCAGCATGACAGCTAAAAGCTCACGAAATGACGGCGGGTTTGCTTTGCTAGTGAGGACAGCTGCTGATGGTGAGTCTCTGCATGATCTAGCGTGGTCACAAATATCTCAGTAAGGATGGGCTGGCACCTATACGGCCTGGCGCTTGGCCCTCTCTCAGAGGGACGTGTGCCTCTTCGAGGCATACCATCGGCCAGGTGGATCACAGCAGATGATACCCTTCCCTTTTATGGGTGCTTCCAGGAATTGCAGTCTTGCTTTAGAGCTCCAAAACTGAAGGTGCCGCGCGAAGAATTGTATTGTGTAGGGGTCCCCGAGCGGTCCGTAACTGTGAGAGCTGTAATTCTGAGCAGGGTGCGTTCCCCCTGATATTGAACAGCCTCATGGTGCTGTTTCTGGTCGATACGAAAAATCCTGTTTGACTCTGAGTACCCTCTACCTGGTGCTGTGGTATACTAAGGTCATGCACAACTGTTGTGTGTCAACAGTAGTATTAAAGAGTGAATACGTACTGGTACGGGGTAAGTATGGTTGCAGTGTTCCGCAAAGAAAGAGCCCATGAGTGTCAGAGCATGACAACAGACTAATGAATGATGATGAAGAAGATAGCAATAGCATCGGTACCGACTGCCAAAGGGTCAACATAGGAATGTCCACTTTTGGGACATGCACATTGAGGCTGGCCCTTCTTGTATGGATCATTTTTGACTTGCTTTGAGCATGTCAAGTGCCAAGAATGCAGTGAACATTGATCATCTGTGCCCTTGGAGACAAAGACGGCACTGAAAGACAGAAGGCAAAAAGCTTCTGAGTTCAAAGCAGTGGTGTTTGGATGCCTGGTGTCCCTGAATGTAGGCCCGGCTTCAATTACTTTAGCAGCCAGGGAAGGTTGCATCTCTTGCTCAGTCTTTGGACTCCTCTTTTCGCTTAAAGCACTTGTTCAGACTGAGCTATGACTAATACAATCACTCTGCGCGCTATTACATTCACTAATTTTACAGTTCCTGTTGCTACTGTAACCGTTACTAAGACTACTGCCTGGCTTTCTGTTGGTCGAACAACAGGCAGCGGCTCAATTTCCTTGCTTGAAAGGTGGCCGCACCTACACCACCACGTTGCGCGACTACGTGCTGGACGTTGGTGCCTATCGGTTTGCAGGAGACATGTTCTGGGCTCAGCTGCTGAAGAGAGAATAGTGGAAGACAAGCCTCAGCATTTTGACGAGCAATGGTGGTATATACATATAGATAAGATATAGATACAAATATGAGCATGGTTTGCATGATGTGATGATAATGTTGGGGATGGGGATGAGCATAGTGAAGATGACAAAGATGATGATCATGTCGAAAAAGTTGAAAGATCCTGGAATGATTTACATTTGCATCTCAGCTTTCAGTAACTCTTCTGTGCATATGTCCAGACAAGCGGCCCCTGGCATGGAGCCCCCATGGGTTTTTATACAGCGTGCTCTGCCTGCTCGCAAGGGCACAGGCCTGAAGCCACTCACCCGCCTTGGAACTGGCGTCTGAGTGGGGGTCTGGAAGTAAGTGCCCTGGGAGTTGAGGGCTGTTTATTTACTTGTATGTAAGCAGATAGCGTAACAGACAGTGACGGAGATCGCATGACACAAAGAGGCATGCAACGTCAACTGCCAGATTCGTATCCATGGCTGACATTGCTGAGCCGCCGAGGCATCTCCCGGCAGATGTTATCGAGAGAGCCTTGGGATTCCGGAGCGCGGCCCAACTGCACTTCTGGTGGTTCTTGCGTCGCATGGCCAT